CCTAATTGCCCCTAACGGCCTCTGCCTCAGTCCCTGCTGCTGGGGCTTCGTCCAGAAGGACATCTGGAATGATGTCCAGAGGTCGTTCAGCTGTCTGATCTAATTAGCATATTACACTTTTATTATTATAGATTACTCATGGGCCTAATATTGGATCTTGTGCTAAGGTGTTTACCAAGCTACCAAATGCTGGCCATTCTTGACCACACCTTTGAGGAAGAAAAAAGACCTTTCCTCTATCCTCCTAGGTTCAGGGACTAGGCCTGCAGATCAGACTGACCAGAGACAGATCAACAGGAGGAGAGGCGTACACATCTCATTAGCTGCACATTTTTTATTTCTGTGTGCATGGAGATCCTCATGAAAATGAAGACTCAGGATGTGGTTAGTCTCAGGAGCTCATATGCCATCTGAACAAAGGGCAGTAAGTTGTGGAGAAGTAATTGGGAGGTTTTGGCTTCTGGGGGAGGTAAATTGTGGGAAGGTACAACTGTCCCCAAGGCCAGACTTGCAGACCTGTCCTGTAATGTGCTGGTGTCTTTTTGTCCCGTCCCTGGCACATTATAACCATCCAACTCTTCTGGTGTCGATAGGGAACTTACCATGCAAGTGGCTCCAAAGCCCTCGTCACCCATGGGTGCCCTCTTCACGGGTGGCCGGTGTCAGCGTTGTAATCTCCAAGCACGCCTGTCACGCACACTCTTTCTTCCATCCAGAGAGGGCTTCGGTGGATGGAATTGTCCATCTAGGGAGGGTGGGTTAACCACGAACGCCACATTTTCACCCTCATCTGGAAGTTCATTATGATCCTCAGAGCGTGGAGTAAGGCTGGTGCTCTGTTTGGGACCATCACTGGTAAAGACTCACCCCTCCCCACAACGTCGTCCGCATCTCAAAGTCATCCTCGGAGTTTTCTTCCCACCCTGCAGTGGATTCCACAACCTGCCTTGTACAGGCTGGTAAATTTGCGAAGTTCTACCAGTCACGTGGTCTCTGTGAGGGTGTGTACTTGGCCCGCGTCTGGAGTGATCGTTTTGATTCAAATTGTTGCTCAGTGTCAGTCTCCCAATCCCAAGTCCTAGACAAGGCACCTGATGTCTGCGTGTAGCCGGAATAAAGCCAGGCCCCTTCACTATCCAATCTCAGGACATAGTTATACTCAACATGTATCCGAAAGGTCATTTAAAATCAATTTAGATAGTTATGCCATTTTTTTTTGGAGAAAATGTAAGGAGGGATTATTTTAAAGCAAGAGTTGTAAGCATTATTTTTTTTTTTATTCTCTAACACAGTCAGTCTCATGGCATCTTTCTCCTAAAAGTCCTTACCTTTTCTCAACTCCCCTGGGTTGGTTGATAGAGGAGTGAGGGCTTTGAATATGTTATTTTCATCCTATTTTTATCTCCAGTACTGTATGGAGGTTTCAGAAATATTAAGATAGACACTGAATCATTTCCAAATCCAAATTATGTTTGGATATCTTTGACATGTCTGGTCATGTCTCCTGTATATCATTTTATTATCTTAAAAGCCGATTCCTGAACATTTTCGTGAATCGAAAAACCACATTCAGGAGAAGATGACTTTTTTTTTTTTTAAAGAAAATTTTTACACTGAATTTTGTGTATCAAATATGGGGAAGGAAGAGTTTGAAAAAAAAACTTAAAAAGACTTTGTGCTTACATTATGTTAGCTTTTGTGGCATTTAAAAAAAGAATTCAGTTAGCTTTTTAAAATAATAACTGTTTACAATCCCATTATAGGATAATAGAACGAACCCTACTTCTCCACGGCTGCAGGGTGTTATGTCCTGGGGCCCAGGCAACAATAGAAACTGTCACTGCTGAGTTCAGCTCTAAGTATGGCCACTTGCTTGCTGCTTCCGATGACCATCCATGTACCCCCACTTACTCCCCAAAAAAGAACCCTGTGAGGTAAAACAGTATGTCTTAGGGAACAGAGAAGCCAAGGAATAGAGGACAACTTAATGACTGGCTGACCTGTGGCTCTCCCAGAGGATAGCTCCATGTGCATCTCCCAAAGACACTTCCCATTTGATGGACCCAGAGCCGTGTGAACTGTGCACAGTCCCTGGGAGCACCGGCCATTCCTCCTCCGTCCCCTTTAGTGCATCCTGAAGTAGGCACCTAGCCTCTACCCTGCTGCTCTTCACATGGCCTGTGCCTCCTGTGCCAATCTTCTCCTGCACTGTCACCTCCTGATGGCAGGAAATGGGTGTTCCTGATCTCCGTCTAGGCCAGCAGTTCTCAACCTGTGGGTCAGGACCCCTTTGGGAGTTGCACGACCCTTTCAAGGGGTCGCCTAAGACCATCCTGCATATCAGATATTTACATCACGATTCATAACAGTAGCAACATTACAGTTATGAAGTAGCAACGAAAATAATTTTATGGTGGGGTCACAACATGAGGAACTCTATTTAAAGGGCCAGAAGGTTGAGAACCACTGGTATAGGCACTCGGCAAATGCCTTTGCACTGAGGGAAGGAAGGAAGGAAGAAACTAACAAATGAAAGGGACAATTGCCAAAGAGATGTCCACTGTCCAGAGCTTTGCTGTAATTGCCCAATTTCCCTGGAAATCTCCGGGAGCAGAATGTTCCCAGGTGCGGTGTGTGTCGTACCTGTGTCGGAACCACCTGGTTGGGGTGCTTGCTAACATTCAGATTCCTGTCTTTTTATTCATTAGAACAATAATAGCTTTCCCAGGAGTCCCACCCAGGAGGCTTCCACGAACATCGCACCGGCTGGAGCGAGACCACATGCCACCCTCAGCTATGAGGGCTTTGGAGAGAGAAGCAGGTGTAACTGGGCACGTTGTTGCCTTGGACAAAGGTGGGGCTCCGTGGGCATGGAATAAGCTCAGCGGATGGGCAGGGAGCAGCACCTGCTCTGAGGAGCCCCAGGACATCTCTCACGTCCAGTTTTAGGCGGCTGCCTGCGTGCCTTAGAAAGATCAGTGCTGTGGTTGCATTCCTGTGATGGCTGGAGTCGGGTCCTTGTGTTTGTTCGCGTGTGGAGGTGATGCCCTGAATGGGTTATGCCTTTTCATCCCTATAAAGGACCGTGGCTGCTCCTTGGACTTTCACGGAAAGAGTCTTTGACTTCTAATGTGCTGAATGCCAATCCCATGAAAGGACCACCCTCCCCGAGTTCTCTGGCTTGTCAATGTGATGAAGCTGCTGGGCTCCCAGGACAACGGCAGGCGGAAGTCTCTCAAAGCTGGGTGATCCCAGCCTCGCTTCTTGTTTCTTTTACGCTCAAAAGAAGAGAGGTTTTGCCCTGGCGGGGTGGCTCAGTCAGTTGGAGCATCGTCTCGTGCACCAAAAGGTTGTGGGTTTGATCCCCAGTTGGGGCGTGTATGAGAGGCAACCAGTCGATGTTTCTCTCTCGCATCTATCTATGTCTGTGTGTGTCTCTCTCCCTAAAAATTAATAAAAACATACCCTCAGGTGAGGATTAAAGAGAAGAAGAGAGGTTTCTCCTCTGGGATATTCCCTTGGGCTTGGGATCTTTCCTCTGTCTTTCCATTTTTTAGTGGAGCTCTTGCTTCACCCTGTCTGGTTGACCCCTGCTCTCGGTTAAAGTGCACCCCTAATCTTTCCTCCTGGAAAAGGGATTTGGGGAAACAAATGAGGTGCATTTGGCCTAGCCGGTGTGGCTCAGTGGTTGAGCATTGACATATGAACCAGGAGGTCATGGTTCGATTCCTGGTCAGGGCACATGTCCGGGTTGGAGGCTTGATCCCCAGTAGGGGGGTGCAGGAGGCAGCTGATCAATGATTGTCTCTCATCATTGATGCTTCTATGTCTCTTCCCCTTCCTTCCTCTCTGAAATCAATAAAAATATATTTAAAAAAAAAACAAAAACAAGTGAGGTACATTGGACGGTAAGAGCCAGTGTTACTGTACACATTTTTGTGCACCTGTCAACCTCTGAAGGGCCTCCTTTTCGCGTTTTCAGCTCATTTCCTCTTGTAGGCTCTAGGACAGAGCTTTAAACAGTGGGATGTGAGCAAGTTATATAGAACTGGAGGCCCGATGCACGGAATTCGTGCAAGGGGCTCGGCCCTCACAGCCCCTCGCAGCCCCAGCCGACCCTCGCAGCCCCGGCTTCGTCCGTAAGGTCATCTGGACGGTCGTCTGGAAGGAATCTGGACGGTTGTTCTGTTGTTCGCTCTAATAGCATAGTAACTCTTTATTATATAGGATATGCATTCCTCAGCGCTCAGGGTGGGGGCGGAGTCTGGGCCACCAGAGTGTCCCCGCCCGTCATCTGAAGTTGTGAGTGCCTCTTCCATTGACCCCACTGTGCCTACAAATATGACCATTTTCTGTATCATGAGGTCAGACAGCTTGGAAAATGCCACGTTCAGCCCTGTTCCCTGGGTCTTTCTTTCTATCCTCTTTCCTTTGGAGGTCCAGATGCTGCCTCTTTCTTTTTCTTCCATCGGCTCGAGGTCTCCTGCCTTTGGCGGTTTGTGAAAGGTGTTCCTAGCAGACCTGGTGCCGGGACGCTGTCCGTGGCAAGCCTGGAGTGTGTCTGACTCCGTTTTCTAGCTTAACGTCCCTTTTTGTCCCCCATGTGGAGTCTTGTTATATTCTCCCCGCTCTGCTCTTCCCTCCTTCCATAAAGATTCTATGGATGGGGCTCAGCCCCTTTCCTACACATCAGCTCGGCCCCCAGGCTCTGCTGTGCCCTTCGCTCTCTGTAGTCTTCTTGTTGGCCACACTGAGCGACCTGGCCAAACCCAGAGATGCCACCGTCTTTCCACCCTCACCCTCCCCAAGTCCCCCGTAAGATGCAAGTGTAGAAACTCAGCGTAATAATCTGCTGGGAGTCGTCATTCATGATAGTGTTCATTGATATTTCCCATTCATTTTTTTCTCTATCTTAGAACTTGTATTGGCCTTTGAGCTGAGGAAGGACAAAGAGGTTGTAATGAAGCTGAAAAGTGTTTCTTTGTGTTTTTTTTTTTCAGATGAGAATTCTCCAGCCAACTTCTGGGATTCTAAAAACAGGGGTGTGACCGGGACACAGAAAGGACAGATTGTGTGGAGGATTGAGCCCGGGCCCTATTTCATGGAACGTAAGTAACCATGTGTGAAATAGATGTTGGTTATGCGACATTGTCTACATATGCAGGAATCTATGGGGTCTTTTCTGGGTGCTATTTAAAATGTTTTTGGCTCTGATTTACATACACTTATACCATAGAACTCCAAACTGGAAAATGTATTATTTTAGAAAATGCTCATTAGAGAATGTTCACATATTTTGAAAAGTGTGTGTGTATTGTATGAACATATGATCTATAAATTACGTGCGGCTATTTTAATACTTCACACATTTTTATATACCTTGCAACTACATTTGTAATTCATATTTAATTATTACTAATTTTAGAGAGCAGGAAAAACAATTCAAGATTTAAATTTAAGAGTTTAACTTAATTTAAAAATTTTATTTGCTAACTCTGCTATTATTTTTCCCAGCGGCAGAATAACTTTTGCATTTGGGTCCTGGTTTTTACAAGTGTGGGTAAGATAGTCTGGGGTAACTTTTGCATTTGGGTCCTGGTTTTTACAAGTGTGAGTAAGATAGTCTGGGGCTGCTATAGAGGTCTAATTACTGCTATAGAGGTCTCTTTACTAGGAATCGAAAATTGCCTGCCGATAATTCAACCACGCCCCAGTTATCTGATGTTATATTCATTTGTACATGCAGATGCTTTCACATAGCACACGTGATTCACAGAAATATGTCATTCCTTTTTATTTTGGATGAAGCGGAGTATCTATACTTCCCACTAATATTATTGAAAACATAGTAAGTACATTTTTGTGGAGTAGCTAGATACTACTGTAAGCAAATGATTTACTGGTTGGTCCCGGTTAATGTCTACACGTACAGAATTTTTCCTTACTGTAGACAAAATTGGCTCTAAACACTTTCCCAGTTATTTTTCTCTGTATAACAAGTACATTTTCCATACGCAGAGTGTTTAACAAGAGAGTGTGGGGATGCTATACAGGGAGGGTACTTACTACACCTTAAAATATAAAGTAAGGTTTGATTGAGTAGCAACTTGATGTAGGCACAGTATTAACGCATATGAAACTTCTGCAGTATAACAAGCTGTTTTGGAAGATTAGCAGCCATTACTTTGAATTGCCATCAGATAATTTCTTCCACATTTTCACTGGGAGGTCAGCATTCTAGAGCTTTCTCTAATCCTATTTCTGACCCCTAAGCAATGCCTTCTTTTCAGTTCAATTTCTGGCTAGATTCTCTCTTTAAATCTTAAGTAGAATGTAATTTTAAGGGAAAATGCTCACGATATAAAGGCAGATACATACAGCACAGCCCCAGCTGAAATCATGGCAGATGGGGAAAGCCCCAATGGGTATGTTTGCCAAAACGTGAATGAGAGGCTGTTTCTGGGGGGTGAGATTATGGGTGCTTTTTCCTGCCTTTTTCTACTTTACTTTCCAACCGTGGCCCAGCTGGCGTTACTACCTAAGTCATCGGAAAAATAAATGATAAAAGGCCATGGGGGAAAAGGGAATGAGAATGGGCCAAGCTTCCTCTTAGGGTGATTCCTCTTTTGAGAGGGTCCCAGGGTTTGAGAGGCTGACCTGGCTGAGAAATATCACCAACTGAACGTCAGGGGGAAAGGGGAAGCAACCTTCGTGTTGGCTCCCAAGTGCAGAAGGCTGCGGGAGTGGTCACCCCGGGTGGCGCGTGTAGATTCATACTGTGGGGTGTTCCGAGATAAGTAACTCGGAACCCCGGGAAGAAGTCAGTGTCACGTGCTGCTGTCACTTGGAACAGTATGTGTGAACAACAACCACCACCCATGTACAGACTGTCTCAGTTTTTGTGACTGACTTTCTTTCTCCCTTCGAAAGTGGTAGAGGTTCGGGATGTCCTGGCTGATGAGGGGCTAGTAAACCTCTCTTTCTCTGAGAAGGTTTTTCTTTACCCCTCCTGCTAGTACTTAATCTCTCTCTCTCTCTCTCTCTCTCTCTCGCTCCTTCCCTCCCCTCCCTCCTTTTCTCTCTCTAAAAAATCAAGAAAAACATATCCTCTGGTGAGATTATGAAACTTTTTTTTTTAAATCAGGGGGTGGCTGAGTATGTTAGACAGTTTTTATATTTTTAATCTTTGATCTTGAAAACTTAACACCACCAAAAAACATTTGCTTTCATCTTCAGACAGAAAATTTTTATCTTTAGCTCATCAGAAGTCTAGTCAAAGTAAAATTCTCCAAAAATTGACCTAAATTCATGGGAAAAACCTAGATTTGAGCACTGAGCTATTTCTGAATATAAAGATGGCTTCTGTTTGTCTTGATAAACCCCTGCAGGAGGCAGGAGGCAGGAGGTCAGGCATATTATTATGGGACCTGCCTGAATGAATTTGAAGGACAAAGACTGGTTTAATTTGGGGTAGATGACCTTGCTAGGCATTGGAGAGGAGGACCGCTTCCCTCTGCACTTGTCATCGGACTGTCAAATAGTCCTCAAATGAGCTAATGCTCGCAGAAACTGGGTTGCTCATCTGGGTGGTGTGCATTCTTGAGTTTTGAAATGTAAGAGGTTTCAAAACTTGTCTTGGGTCAGACATGCCAGAATGTCTGTTTCTATAGTCTTTTATAGACTACTAGAGGCCCAGTGCATGAATTCGTGCACAGGTGGGGTCCAGCCAGCCTGACCTGATCGGGCCGATAAGGCAGGGCCGGCCGGGGGGAAGGGCTGCGGGCTGTTGGTTGGCTGGCTGGCCCCGCCTCCTGGTCAACTCCCAGTTGAACTCTTGGTCGAGGGGACAATTTGCATATTAGTCTTTTATTATATAGGATGATCATTCATTCAGACCTGCTTTCTCTCCTGCCTTCCTCCTGTCTATTTGTCCACCTATATGTGCAGAAGCCATTCTTGGGTAGATGGATCATTCCTTGCTCCCTAGTCCAGATCCTCCATCTCCCCTGCCTGTGAGCAGGCTGGCCCTGTGAGCAGTGGCTTCTCCCTGTTCTGATGCTCGGTCATCGCACCTGCATTGGCTTTCCCCGTCCTTGCATCTGTTTCTCGCAGGAATAGCTTTTTGTTTTCCTCTTGCAGTGAGAGGTTAAAAATGTAGCTCAAACAGAAGGCTGGGCCCCAACAGCCCTCTCCACCCTTTCGAGTTTTCTTTCCAGTTACTCTTCTCATAACTAAAATGTTCAAGGACATCGGTCAACATGCTAGTTTCTTTCTTACTCAGAGGGCATGTATTTTAATCTTGAGTGACCGAAAGCACTGAATAATATTAGGACGCGACAGCTCCCACCCGCATGGAACATTCCCGTATTTTCGGGACAGGCATCTTTCCTGGTGTCCTGCTCCGGGACCTGGCTGGTTTAAGTCCAGGTGCCAACAGCTGTTCTGTGTTTTTCTCTCTGGGGACCTGCTGTGTGTTTGCTTTTGTGACGGGTGATCTGCGTCAACCCCTGTGCTTTGCCCCACCCAGGAAGCCGTGGGAGGCTGTTGGCTCTGCCCTGTTTGGGGTGATCATGTCCATCCACAGAATCTGTTTTGTTCAATTCAGAGTAAATTCATCTTAGAGGTCACTGAGACTCTAGTGCAGTGATGGCGAACCTATGACACGCGAACTCATTTTTTTGGTTGATTTTTCTTTGTTAAATGGCATTTAAGTATATAAAATAAATATCAAAAATATGTCTTTGTTTTACTATGGTTGCAAAGATCAAAAAATTTCTATATGTGACACGGCACCAGAGTTAAGTTAGGGTTTTTCAAAATGCTGACATGCCGAGCTCAAAAGGTTCGCCATCACTGCTCTAGTGTATCACTGGGGTTAGAGATTTGGGTTATAGCAAGGAATAAAATAGCACCTAAAATGGGTCAACTGGCAAAGTTGGCCTGGCTACCACTATCCTACAGATAAAAATGAGCAGCCCAGCCGGTATGGCTCAGTGGTTGAGCGTTGACCTATGAATCAGGAGGTCACGGTTAGATTCCGGGTCAGGGCACAGGCCCAGGTTGCAGGCTTGATCCCCAGTGGAGGGCATGCAGAAGGCAGCTGATCAATGATTCTCTCTCATCATTGATGTTTCTATGTCTCTCTCCCTCACCCTTCCTCTCTGAAATCAATATAAATAATATTTTTAAAAAATGAACAGTCACTTGTTTTGTCTTGGAGTGTGTTCCCTCGCTGACCGTGTAGAGGAGATGGCATCCTAACTGGAGAGTTTGGGGAAGGTCTTATACAAATGCACGTCTCCGTATTGGGAAGCGAGCTGCTCGCTCCCTCCCCGTTGACTTGGTCATGGAGGTCCTGCTGCAGGCAGATTCGGAGTCCTGGTCTCCAGCGTTAGGGGGTGACGCTGATGAGCTCCTGTCCGCAGAATCCAAGGCTCACGCCCGCCACCGAGCTTGCCCGGCTTCGACGGGCCTGTGCATTGTGCTGAGCCGTGTTCTTGCCGAATACGTGCTGTTGGTCTTGGGAGAAAGCAGGTGGGAGAGGAAGTTTGCTCAGGTCTATGCAGCTGTTACAATTGCAGTCATACTCAGAGCCCCGTGTGGGTGTTCGCGGCAGCCACACCTGGCGTGTTCCGGGAGGGGCGGTGCGAATGAAGCTGGGATGCCCACGCAGGTGGTTCCTCAGAGCCCGCAGCTCATCGTTCCTGCCTCGGCCACGCCTCGCTCCCAGCCTGCTCGTCTGTTAGGTTTTCCATCCGCAGGTTTCAGTCCCAACCAGTGTGTTCTGTGAGCCTTCCTGATCCCGCGTGTCCTCACTGGTCGCTGCCTCCAGCCTTCTCCCGCCATCCTCCCCGTCAGGGTCTGTCTCCTGTGCTTTGTCAGGCCTGTGGCTGTCACCTCAACACTCCGTCACCTGCTAGACCAGATGCCTTCCCTGGATTCTCTCTCCCTGCCCGGCGTGGGGCGGGCCTGTTTGTGATGGGTGCGTGGTAACAATCCTCTGCTCGGCAGTGCTCGCTACATTTCGGATCACCATAGTGATTCACGTTCGTGATGGAAAGACTCAGTATTTTACCTCATGACAAGACTGTTCTTTTTGTATTTCATCATGGATAGGAAACGTGCAATAATATAAATTCCTAAAAGAGGATTTTTCTTTAATTGTTGTATTTTTTCTCTTAAAACAAGTGAACCAGATACTCCGTGGAGGTCATCGGGTGCAGCCGGGAGGGTCCGTGGGAGGTGGACTTCCTTGGGAAATACGTCCAGTGGCTCCCCCTTTAGTGGTCCAGCGGACTCAGTGGAGGAGGCCGCTCCTGTAGGCGGGCCTGGCCCTGGGACTGCCCATCAGCATCCCTGCCTGTATCGGATGACACCTGGGGAGCGAGGCATCTTGCGGTGACACTTCCGTGACTCAGGCTCGCTGTACACGGAAACATCCCAGTGCCTGTGCCATCTACCTGTGACGCGTTCGGACTTCACGATCTTCGAAATTGTTACTTTCCAAAATCAGTAAATGACGTTTGTATTGCTCTTTATCGAGTTCAGATCTTACACATATGAAATACGTATATGCTACATTCGTGTGTAATAGATATGAACACACACATAACCTGTGGATATAGATCTCCACATACATCTGCATCTGCATCTGTCTGTTCACGTGCCAGGAGTGTCTGTACCAGTGGTTACTAAATCTGATCCCTGTCTAGTAGCTGCATTTAGATCACTTGGAAATTTAAAATAATGCAGGTTCCCAGGCCCTAGCACTGCATAGTCTCAGACAGTATTTTCTCATACGTGCTTTCTGTGTCCCTGTGTCTGTGGACAGCTGCAGCCTGTCTGTATTGTAGAGGTTCAGGATGAAGGCTTTGATACCTAAGGTCGGTTTGAGTCCTGACGCTGTCATTTCCTGCTTGACCTTCAGCACATCACACTCCATCTGCAGCCTGGGGACAGGCCTTCTGCCTCCCAAAGTGGGTGTGAGGTGAAGGAGCCCCAAGACCAGAGATACACCTCCACGCAGCTGAGGCAGCTAGTCTTAGCCTCATCTCCACACGGTTTACTTTGTGGCACGTTTGCGCATTATCTTCTAATACATTTGAGAGTGTTCTTACAAAATCCCAGAGGAGCATCTGTGATCAAGTAAGAAGTGGCATAACCAGTCCGTTGCCTCTGCTTGGAAAAGGAGGGACCATTTAAAGACTCAGGAGTAGGGCTTTCTGAGAGGCGGTGTGGGAATGGCCTCAGCTGGTTGTTCCGTGTTTGAATGACTGTTCCATGTTTGAATGACTGTTTTTCTCCACTCCATCCGCAGCGGAGATAAAGATCTGCTTTAAGTACTACCACGGCATCAGCGGAGCCCTGCGCGCCACCACCCCCTGCATCACCGTGAGGAACCCCGCTGTGATGGTGAGTCCTGCTTGCTGCTTCCTGGTGTGGGTGGTCCCTGGGGCCTTGCTTTCTATTTCTGCACCTGCAGCTCTGGCAGATGATGGGGAACAATGAGAAGGAAACACAGAGCATGGGGGGGGGGCTCCACTTTATTAAAGGGAATCACGCGCAGGCTGGCTTACCTGCATCCATCATTCTAACCAGTGGGAAAACAGGATTTGATTTATATCAGTTCTGTGTCGTCAGCTCTCCATGAAGCAAATTAGTGAGTGCTCCACTGTGGAAGGGGTTTCAGACTCCATTGGGGTCGGTAGGAAATGGCAACATTGCCTCTTCACGTGGATTTAATTTAAGGAGCTCAGTGCGCAGAAGGGAGAGCAGTCATGATTTAACGTGTGTGATTCTGCCTGCTGCTCAGTGAGCTTCCATCCCAAAGGGAGTGTGAGGTGAGGATCAGGCATGTGCTCTTCCCAGGAGGCCTCAGTGCTGAGTCCCTCTCCGGCCGAGCTGGGGTCTGGTGCCTCCAGGGACCACACGTAGTTTTGTACGACTTGGCCAGTCAGTGAGGCCAGCCGCTTCCCCAGGCCCTCAGTGGAAGAAAGAGATATTTAACTTAGTTTTGGAGGACATCGTTGGTTTTGTGGACCCTTGAAGGGAAAGTGTGTCCATTTCTAACCCGGTACTTCCCGGGGGATTCCTTTTCTCAATGTTGTGATTTTTCACTCCATCCACTAACCTTAGAGTCTCACAGCCTCACAAGGTACACTCAGTTCTGTGTCGTCAGCTCTCCATGAAGCACTCCATTGTACACGGGCGATTGGACTTGGATAGTTTAGGTCAGTGGTCGGCAAACTCATTAGTCAACAGAGCCAAATATCAACAGTACTTCTTCAAAATAGACTCGCCCAGGCCGAAAACCGACTTCTGTGCTTGGGCCATGAAGTTTCAATCGCACTGTATGTGCTCCCACACGTGGTATTTTGTGGAAGAGCCACATTCAAGGGGCCAAAGAGCCGCATGTGGCTCGCGAGCCGCAGTTTGCCGACCACGGGTTTAAGGGAATTCCGAGAGTGTAAGAGATGTAAATCATTACACTTGTATCACTCGTTCGTAACATTCAGGTCATGGAAGTATAGAAGAACAATACTGACTCCCATAATATTGAACCTTCATGACATTGTGTGTGTGTGTGTGTGTGTAAATGTATAGATGCACGCACTTTTGGAAATAGGCACGTGGCCAGGTTGACTCCTTGAGATTCAGAAAGTAATCTCTGCCGATGGCAATTTGCACTTGTGCAGGCCCACCAATGCCGTACCAGCCAGTCCTTCCCTTTCTCCACTCATGCGAGCAAATACTCACTGGGTGCCAGCTAATGCCAGGCATCGCACTCACCACCAGGATGAAATGATCAGCAAAACACAGTGTTTGTTTTCACCGGTCTCCTGGGGGAGGAGAGGCATCAATTAAGTTACATTATAGTTATTTGAGTCTAATGACAATGAGCGGGAGTAAGACGGGGCTATGAGAGCACGTACTGTAGGATTTATCCTGATCAGGAAGGTGTTGGAGGGCTTCCTGAGGGAGGCGTGTTTGCAGGACAGTCTGAAGGATGCGTAGGAGTCACGTAGGTGGAGAGAGGTAGGGAAGAGCATTTTAGGTCGAGGGAACAGTATGTGCAAAATCTGCAATATCTAAGTACTGAGCTCACATGTGAATTATATTTGAGTTCCCATCGTAGGACACATGGTATGGAATAGGAAAGAACAACCCACATGTACTGTATGAGACTTGGAAGGCCACAGGAGAACAACAGTTGTTGACTACAGCATCTGCTGTGTCACATAGTCAGCACGGGCGCACGCTTTAATTAATATTCTAAAGAGAAACATTGCAAAGCCAGAAGTGTGGCGCGTTTGTAATAAAACCCTTTGAAAAATTAACTGCGTGTGAAATTAGGCAGTCGCTTCCAAACACGATTTTTCTGAACTCAGGATTTTTATTTATTTTTTTTAGACTCGAGCAGTTTCAACAATCAGCTATCATTGAAGGCAGCGGGAGTTCACCGCCGGGTGAACATTGATCTCATTCCATTGATCTTTGCATTGAGATTATTCTGTCAATCCTGTGGCTCGTTTGGAGATAATTAATTTGCTTCAGGCAGCGTGTAGAGCACCTTAAAGGCTTCGTCGATACAGCGCTTGGGATCAGAATAGAATATTGTGGTTCCAAGGGTGACTCATAGGATTGGCGGCCAATCGTTTCCCGACCAGGCTTGAGACGGCCGGGTCTGTATCCAAAACTGAGAGGCTGGGCCACCCGGGCGCCTCGTTGTGAGGGTGAGTGCGGTGTCTGTGTCACAGCGTGACGGCCTCCCGGGGCACGGTATGTGGCCTGTGTTTAGTTATTGAGACGGATAAGCTGCATCGACAGTCACCAGGCCCACTTAGAACAGTCCCGGAAGAAGTCACTGGGAGACTCCCTAGGGCAGGAAATGAGCTGCCACCCTAATCTGCTCCTTTCACACACATCCTTCTGCGATGAGTCCAGGATACAAACCGTTGTGCCCTCTCTGCCGCTGGGGCTTTGACGTCACTGTCATTCATTAGAGTACACAGTGATGTGTATCTCAGACGCTTGGAACAGGAAATCCTTTAGCCTCAGGGACAGGCAAAGGCGACCGTCACTCACGGCCATGTATTGTTTCTGCACTGGGTTGACAGGGTTGCTTCTGGCTTTTCCTGGAATGAATCTAGGGAGTGAGTTTATTTAAAAACCTTTCTGCAAACAGCGAGGGCAGACGTGTTTATCATCGCCGATGCCCCCGTAGCTAGAGGGAATGCGTACTCTTCCCTGGCTTCATGGTCATCGGTGGTCACATCGAATGCTCTGGGTATTCTTTCAGATGAGCATTTTGCCACCATGGTAGGAAAGGACAGTGTCTATCTGTGAATTCTGTGAACATTGTTTCACATTAACCTTTTGCCGGACAGTGAATCACATTTTTAAAATGAGAATCTAAGGGCAAATTTTTTGTTTCTGTAATATCTTATAATATTTTAAGTAGGTTTTCAGAAAACCCATTTAAAGTTTATTTTTAAAAGAATATGAATCTTTTCAGCCTTCTTTAACTCACTTTGGGTGAGTCTCTCTTAGCAGGAAGGGTCATCGTGTCTTTGGGGGCGGTACAGCGCACAGGGCCATGGGGTCCATTTGAGGGGAGGCCATGACCTATCGGGTCTGGCTGTCTCAGCTGCAGACTGTGCTCCCTTGCTGCTCACCACTCCACAGTCCAGGGTTGTGCGTGGTGAAAGCAGGACGCGGTAGTGACCAGCCGTCAGTAGCTTGGCTGGTTTGCTATTGCCCCGCCGGTCAACCTGGGGGTGATGAGTCGGAGAGGTGGCACACAGTGTAGTAAAGCATACGTACTCACTGAGAGCCAGCCCCGTGTCATCAAGGAGTTGGTTTGATGGGCAGAATGTAAAAAGATACCCGGATGGGACCCAAGGACACTGCAAATGACATGATCAGGAGGCAGCCAAGTGTCACACAAAATAGTTTTGACTACGTTACAGGAAGTGGAGAAGGAAGTAGAAATGGATATTTCAGAATTGGCATGGAATTCATTTCCAGTGGTTCTCAACCTTCCTAATGCCGCGACCCTTTAATACAGTTCCTCATGTTGTGGTGACCCCCAACCATAAAATTATGTTCATTGCTACTTGATAACTGTAATTTTGCTACAGTTATGAATCGTCATGTAAATATCTGATATGCAGGATGTATTTTCATTGTTCGCGACCCACAGGTTGAGAATCTAAGGGCAAATTTTAGACGTTTTCCGGCTTTTCTTGGATTAGTGAAAGTTTTATTTGTTGATGGCATAAGATTTTTAAACGAGTGTGGGGAGTGTTCCAAAGATAAAAGATGGAAGGGTGTAATATAAACTAATGTGGTTTCACTTTTCCAACTATTCAACATATATTCTGCCTTCAGCCTGTCTGTTACAGTATTGCAGCTTTTTTTTTTTAGACAACTATGAAATTTTGTTTCCTAGTATGCCATAACTTGAGCACTAATTGTACATAAATTGAGGGAAAGGCTAAATCTGCTATGTGGTCTATAAATGATTGGTTTCAATGAGATAATTTACTCGAAAGCTTTTAGGAAAAGCTTTACAACGCAGTGATTAGTACAACAGCATTGAGAATGCCTATTACCACTAATCATAATAGCATGTGCCATCTACCTGTAGCTCAATCATATAGGAGCTCCCAAAGGGATGGGACATCCACGTGGCCACTCAAAAATGTTTGGCGAGAGAGCATCATCCTACATATGTATGGATGAGTCTGGTATAAATCGCGTGTTTAGTTTATTCTAGGGTTTTCTAAAAAGTCTGAAGGAATTTGATGTTTGATTTTTTTTAACTTAAGGAATGTTTTCATACAGTAATAGCAATATAAGTACATTTGCTATCTATCAACTATCTCCTTAGCAAAGAACTAAAAGGACAGAAAGTAAGTTGATTCATATCCCAGTGAATTTAGAAGCTCCTATCGGTCTCATTTCGGGTAAAGATGAAGTTAGGTGTGATCTTTCTCTCATCTCTGAGAATCTGCATTTGTGTCTCAATTCCAAGCTTTGCAGCTTATGAGAAGGTATATACTACAGGCATGTTTGGTACGAACATCATCACACTGGCAAACATACGTGATTCCCCAGGACGGTTGAGCAGCCTCAGACCCTGTGAAGCTTCACACGCGTGTTTTTTGTCTGCAGATGGGGGCAGAAGGAGGTGCTTCTGGAAGCCCGCATTCCCGGAAGCTCGTCAGCTTCACGCTGTCCGGTAAGGCTGCCTTTCATTGGCGCAATGTCCAGCTTGAAAGTCTGCGATTTTAAGGGCATCAATAGTCCTTTCTTTCACAGATTCTCATAGGTTATAGGTGGACTAGTTATTGATCTGGGGGGTCATACTTCTGAAATTCAAGTATATCTTTTACCAGAATAAAAATAGATCATTGATATAAACTCAGAAGTTATTTCTTCTAATGAGTTTTCTGGTGGGAAAAAGACTGTAACTGTGTATAGTTACTTTAAAAAAAATCTGTAATGTCATGTGTTAACCACACATGAGGGCGTTGGTTATTGGAGATGATTTGTGCTTACCTCATCTAGGGAAAGGGAAATGTGGAAACGAGGGGGGAAGCCAGGGGGAACCCCAATGTCTGTGGAGGAATACACATAAAAATAGAAAGTGGGCAAAACAATTTGTTTTGTTGTTTTCTGGTTGCTGCAATATTTTAATTGCTTGTTTGTGTATCATAAAACGAAAGACCTGGTTGTGAGTGGGAACTCATTTGTGGTTTACAAGGCTTATTTTATTGAAACTAGCAATTTAAAAAAGCATAGAAAAAAATCAGTTTACCACCAAAGGGAAATATTTTTTTCATAGAACATCAGTTTATACAAACTGAAAAACATTCACACAGGAAAATAAAAACACCTCTGTATGTGTATGTGGGTTTCATGGTCACATGTTACTTCATATGTAGGGGACTCAAAAAGTTTGAAAGCCTTTGATTTTTAAAAAGTCGATGAGCAGTCAGAAAGTCAAGAATTCCCCAAGAAAGTCAGCGTTTGAAACGGACTTTCAGAGTGGACGACTGTGCTACAACACATCCGAAATGAAGTCTGACAGGTGTCTATCACTTCAGATGCTTTGTTTTCATTTTCCATCTGTGTTGTGCTTCTCAAATTTAAATGCAGGTTACTTTCTTAGCTGCAAAAAAAATGTGCATGAAAATATATGTTCTCACGAGTGAGAGTCAGCAGGCCGATCTTCAAAAGAGACGTGGCAGTGGTGCTCCCTCGTCGCATCTGGCCGAAGGGCGCACGGAAGTCGCTCATGGCTGCCGTGGCCTGCGGGGACCATGTCCATCCTAGCAGAGGAGGCACTTCCTGGGAAAGCTTGCTTGGTTTTGTTTTCTGGCGGGTCTCGGCGGTGGTGAACTGGTGACTCATGGCTCAGACGTGGCCAGTGCATATGTTTTGGTTGGAACCCTCAGCGTTGACACATGTCTAGGTTTTCACCAGGGCACATAGGCGCACCGCTGCCTGTGACACTCCCCTGTCCCTTCATCTGTCCGTCTCTCGAGAACATGGCAGGTGGCGACCTGTACCTTAGACCTCACAGTCCCCAGGGGCTGCAGGTGCACAAGTCCTTTCTTTATCGGTGGGGAGCACGAGCCGGCCTGCGTGGCTCAGGACATGTAGGTTGACCACACCGTGGTTTTCTTAGTGTAGAAGCATCGCCCTGTGCTTCCAAGCGGTCAGTATCAGTCTGAATAGGATACGCACAGCCCAGTTGGCGTGGCTCAGTGGTTGAGCATGGACCTATGAGTCAGGAGGTCATAGTTCAATTCCCGGTCAAGGACACATGCCCAGGTTTCAGGCTCAATCTCCAGTAGGGGCCGTGCAGAAGGCAGCTGATCAACGATTCTCTCTAATCATTGATGTTTCTATCTCTCTCTCCTCCCTTCCTTTCTAAAATCAATAAAAATATTTTAAAAATGATACACACATATTGATTTTGACTGCAGAGGGGTGCTAATTAACTCACTATGGGAGAATGAGCATGTTTTCTTAGTGTAGAAGCATCGCCCTGTGCTTCCAAGCGGTCAGTATCAGTCTGAATAGGATACGCACAGCCCAGTTGGCGTGGCTCAGTGGTTGAGCATGGACCTATGAGTCAGGAGGTCATAGTTCGATTCCCGTAGCAACATGACAGTTATGAAGTAGCAACGAAAATAATTTTATGGTTGGGTCACAACATGAGGAACTGTATTTAAAGGGCCGGAAGGTTGAGACCCACTGATCTAGAACATGAAAATCCCAGGACATTTTCCTAAAAAGTAGGGGCACAGCCAGATGTTTCTTCTTTAAACACAACTTCTTCTAATGTTCCACCTCAATACACGTGGCGGCTGGCTAACATTATGTCCTATTTCCTACCATGTGGTCAGATATGTGCAGGTGGTAGACAGAAGTGGCTAAAACGATAGAATATGAAAACAAGTCTCTAATTCTGAACAAATTAATCTGGTTGTAGCATATTGACAGTGAGTGACGACATTTATCCAAGAGCATTTGAGCCCTGTGGAGTGGCTGCCTGCAAACGCTCTACTCTTGATTATCTATGGATAAGTAGGGACACAAATAATTGAACTCTACGGCAAAATCCAAAAACTGTGTTTTCCCTGGCTGAGTTGGTTGGGGCATCATCGCATACACCAAAAGGTCGTGGGTTTGATTCCCAGTCAGGGCACATACCCAGGTTGTGGGTTTGATCCCCAGTCAGTGCATGTGTGGGAGACAACCAATTGATGTTTTTTGTTTCTCTCTCTCTCTCTCTCTCTCTCTCTCCCTCTCCCTCTCTCTTAAAAAAAACCAAAACAAAAAAGAAACACCAACATGCCAAAAACAAAACAACTGTGTTTTGATTAATATCTTAAACCTCTTCTCCAAATAAAGCTGTAAACCAGGATATCTACCATGTCATACCTTCGTGACTTTGAGTCCTTCATTGGTCTATTAGGTGATGTGGATATTTATGAGCAATAAGGGATATAAAAGGCAAAAGGGAGAAACAAGAGCAGAGATGAGACGGGTGAAGGGAACTGAGCAGTCCGACCACACATAACTGGGAGTTGGTTGTATTTCTCAATGAGGGTTTATTTGCGCAGTGTCCCTGGTGGAAAACTTTGGTGTGAGGGTTAACAGTGACTTCTTTCATCACAGTGGCTTCATCTTCTGGGGAAATTCTTTGTGTTCAAAGGAATGTTTTGCATGAATGATTTAGCTCTGTCAGACTGTGTGGCAGCCATTTCTGTACATGTTATTCCTCATTTATTGCAAAGAAGTCGACTTACTATCTAAAGAATGTCATTTTTCTGTCTTTGAGTCGGAGGCGAGCATAATCAAGAAAGGTAAGAAAATAAGTATGTAAATTGCATTTTTTCTCTCAAGGCTGGCTATTTTATGCTAAAGTAAGCCCAGTGAAGATACGCAGCGTTATTAAATGGGTAATGAAGTGCAAGCACACTGGTGGGCGGGACAGGGATGGGAACAGTCAGGCTCCCGAGGGGACAGCAGCGTCGCTCCCGCCGGTTCTCAGGTCAGTGATTTCACTCTGTTCCCTGCATGTTCTTAACATCAGGTCCTGTTGGTTGAATGTTTCAATCTTTGCCAACATATTAAAATAAGTTTTTCTTTTGCGTGTGTGTATGTTTTTTAAATTATTTTTTGGAGAGGAAGGGTGAGGGAGAGAGAGCTAGAAACATCAATGATGAGAGAGAATCATTCATTGGCTGCCTCTTGCATGCCCCACACTGGGGATCGAGCCCGAAACCCAGGTACGCGCCCTTGACCAGGAATCAAACCTAGGACCCTTCAGTCCACAGGCCGACGCTCTATCCACTGAGCCAAACCGGCGAGGGCTTTGCCAACACATTAAACTGCCTCCCTCTACTGCCCGTTGCGTGTCATCAGACTCTCCCGGTCTGTTTTCATGGCACAGACGTCTAGACCCCAAGTTCCCACTGGTAGATGAGGGCGTGAGCGCCTGCAGGGAGCAGTCCCCAGAGAGTAGGGTTCTCTGGGCAGCCCCCGGCCAGTTCTGTCCTTCGAAGAAAGACTTTGTGTTTCAGAAATAGGATTGAGTAGGATGACCCTGGAGACAATTTAGGGTCATTGGAGGTTCATGGGCCACCTGCAGGTTTCTATCTGCACCAGTGGGCGGGGCCTCCTAGCCTAAGCATCACTGCGTGAGGTGACCTGGAAACAGTCAGTTCTTCCAGACACTAAAAGATCCCTCAGTTCTCAGGCTGACCCTAGTCACACAGATATTCTCAGAAAGGTGTGTGGGGCCCAGGGAAGCAGCTTCATTTCCTGACGTGTGTGTATCCCTAAGCCTGGCCTTTAAAAAAAAAAGTGTCATTCTCTTCACGAACCAGACTTTAGCCAGAACTTTTAGCAGCTCGCATAGTGAAATCACAGCTGCTGCAGAAGATGAGACATGGGACATTCATTCAATATTTAAGTGACTTAGGCTATTGAGGAAGTAACCTCACAGTTATTTAATCCAGTAGGTAGCATTCAACTTTCAGAAATATTTCTGGTCTTCCCGCTTCGCTATCATTCATGGCATTTGTGGAAGATACGTGACATGGTGAATGTGTGCGACTGAATGTGTGCTCTGCAGTGTCCGCCCCAGTTAAACGTCGGTCGGTGCATTTCCTGTATGTATGTCGAAGATTCATGTTTCTCTCATGAGGGACCTATTGGTGTTTTGTTTTTTTTTTAATAAACAGTTTACTGAGGATTTCTCTCAAGACATTGTAATGCTGGTTGCCAACCCACATACACGTTAGAATCTAGGTGTGTGAGCTGAGGGTAAAGTTTGGGCTCACTTTTGCAGCCTGCTAGGAGGCCTCTCTGCTGGGACGAGTCACGACCCGCCTGAACTCACTGACCTACGTGGTCGCAGTGTGAATAACTGTGCTATCGTTTCACCAGATCCTTTCTGTTTAGCGCTTCCTGCCTGATTATTTAAGAACAATTGTCATTGAGCTGCTTGTCCTTCTGTCTCTTTTCCTCTGCCTTTCTCTTCCCTGTCTCCCTCCTCTCTTTCTCTTTCTTTAAAGATCTCAGAGCTGTCGGGCTAAAGAAAGGGATGTTCTTCAACCCGGACCCTTACCTGAAGATGTCCATCCGGCCGGGGAAAAAGAGCAGCTTCCCTACCTGTGCCCACCACGGGCAGGAGCGGAGGTCCACCATCATCAGCAACACCACCAACCCCATTTGGCACCGAGAGGTGAGGTGGTCCCCAGGGTCTGAGACGTGACCAAGGAGGAGGAGGTGGCCAACTCCAGCCCTTTCCTGCGGACTCTGTGCAGCATTGAGCTGTGTACAGTGTGAGCAGGAGGTGTCTAGGGGGCCTGTTGGAAAGAGGGCACAGTGAGAATGAGATATTCCCTCTAGTCGGGGCTGGTCTAAGATAAGGCAAGGGAAGCACCTTACAGTGCACAATGTAAAGGATGCCAAAAGACTCAAAAATCAAAAGAAATACTTTAATGCAATATGTGTGTGTGTGTGTGTGTGTGTGTGTGTGTGTGTGGTTTTTAAAAATATATTCTTACTGATTTCAGAGAGGAAGGGACAAGGGAGAGAGAAATAGAAACATCAGTGATGAGAGAGAATCTTTGATCGGCTGCCTCCTGCACGCCCCACATTGGGGATCGAGTCCACAGCTCGGACATGTGCCCTGACCGGGAATCAAACCGTGACCTCCTGGTTCATAGGTCGACGCTCAATGCCACGCCAGCTGGGCTGCAATATATTTTTTTAAAAGTCAAAATCAATGCAAACAAATGATGAGCACAAAGTGTCAAAATGTGGAGACAGGACAGGCCCAGCAGCATTATCTTGCAGTCATGTTGGACCTGGAGGCAGAAGGAGAAATCAGAGAGATTGATGGTTTTTATTTGAAATGTTGGTGTTTCGTTCTCGAATATATTCAGTGCAAATTAAAGGAGTTTCCCCGCCTGCAGGCTCTGGCGAATGTGTCTGGGATTTCTTGATCTCGGGAAATTCAGTGCGCTACTCAGAGAGTGAAGCCAGATTGTGTTGGGGGTCCTTAGGCTCCCTCCCAGCTCCCTTATGCTTCCAGTCGGCTCGGTGCCGCGTGCCAGGGAGACCCAGCGAGGGGCTCTCCTTAAAACTACAGAAAACCCCGAGGGCAAACAGAGACCCCGTTTCTCCTCGAGTGAGGACAGCCGTTTCTTTGGGACCCAAGACATTTCCAGTACTAGATAGTGTTTCTGGGTAAACTTTTGTTGGCATAGGAATCACACCGATAATTAAAACATTCCCTAACTGTTTATTGACAACCATGTTCTGACAATGTTGTGGAAGTATTTCATTGGAGAGGGAGATAACTCGGGACCTCTAACCAAGTGGAGAAAAGATATGGCTCTTAGGAGTTCTTAGGTTATTTAAACAGATAAAAGCATGTTTTCTTATTCCTGGTTTTAAAAACAAGTACTATCTCCAAAATAGTGAATAACTTGTAAAGGCGGACCACCGAATTTCAACACATTAGAAGCCTAGAAAACATAAAATTTATCTCAACACGAGCGCTAGCAGGCACAGAGTGCAATAATCAGCAATCACTTTATCTTCCTCACATTTGATATTGACAAAGTTCTTACCCACGTGGCCAGTGCAAGCCTGAGGAGGGGGGTGTAAATATTTACTTGAATATTTACCAAGGAAACCAGGGTATTCTGTAGATGTTTCTACTTTAATAGGGGTATTTGAACCTATGTTGGGCAACTTCTACATAACATGGGATCAGGAATGAAAATTGCTGTTAACCAAATATATCGGTTCATTCTAAACCAGTGATGGCGAACCTATGACATGCGTGTCAGGGGTGACACGCGAACTCATTTTTTGGGTTGATTTTTCTTTGTTAAATGGCATTTAAATATATAAAATAAATATCAAAAATATAAGTCTTTGTTTTACTATGGTTGCAAAGATCAAAAAATTTCTATATGTGACACGGCACCAGAGTTAAGTTAGGGTTTTTCAAAATGCTGACATGCCGAGCTCAAAAGGTTCGCCATCACTGTTCTAAACCATCCTATACCAGCATGTTAAATTTCAAAGAATTAAGATACAATAAATATATGAATACTAAAATTGTGTTGTGCACAATTTAATATTTGGTAACATCTCCTAAAACTGTTGAAGCAGGAAAGGATGTGGTAAGGGAAGGGGCTCCCTTTGTCATACAGATCCCTACCTTGTTGGGTTTGTTTTTTAAAAAAATATATTTTTATTGATTTCAGAGAGGAAGGGAAAGGGATAGAGAGACAGAAACATCAGTGATGAGAGAGAATCATCGATCGGCTGCCTCCTGCACGCCCCCCACTGGGGACCAAGCCTGCAACCCAGGCATGTGCCCTGACCTGGAATCGAACTGTGACCTCCCGGTTCATAGGTTGACGCTCAACCACTGAGCCCCGCCAGCCGGGCAGCTGTTGGTTTTGAATCATTGTGCATGTTAATGAGTCTGAGTGAATAAAAGATCGACAACAGCTGTAGCTCTTTCTAGCAATGTGGACTCTGCACGTCATTAAGATTGAAAAGCGATGACATTTTCTATCATAATAAGTGATGTAATTTCCTGTTTATCTTTTTCTGAATCAGCTGGTTATCTGTTTTTATTTTCAGAAATACTCCTTTTTTGCACTTCTTACCGATGTCTTAGAAATTGAAATTAAAGACAAATTTGCCAAGAGCCGTCCTATCATCAAGCGTTTCCTGGGGAAGCTGACCATCCCCGTGCAGCGGCTGCTGGAGCGCCAGGCCATCGGGTAACCAGCCCCCCCAAACACCTCCGGGTGGGCCTTTGGGGGGGGGGTTTGCACAGAAGCAGCTGAAATGATGCTTTCACTTCCAGCCCGAGGCCTTTGCTCACTGATAAGAAGTGATAACACATCTCTTTTAAAAGCGGAAATGCTCCTACATGAAAACGTGCAGGACGAAGCGCTTTGATTTAGTGATGCACCATTTGGGGGTGTCTGTCTTTTCCAAGGTGGCCTGCCGTGAGCATTTCTGCACCACATCAGTGCTCAGCTGGGTGGAGTCTTTTGGAATCTCACTATAAAGGTCTCTCCCCAAGTCAGGATCCTGGTGTCGAGTTGACCCCTCCCTGTCCGGATTGATCCCATCCGGGGAACTGGTTGACGGGGGAACTCCTAGACATATACATTCACCCAGGCAGCTGTCATTTACGTTTGCTGTCTGTGAGCCTTCTGTAAGTTTGAATAACGTAGGTAAGAAATCATAACATGCCTCCACCCCTTGTTATAAATGGCCTGTCGATGTGTACACGGCGAGGACCAGCAAGCGCGGTGACACTGGCGCCTGAGGCGGCACTCGGACCTTGGTCATTGTAAGAGAACGTGCTGAACATGTGGCGGTTGTAGTAGTTGTAGCAGTAGCCGCAGCAGTAGTAAGAGGAGTAATAGTAGTAAGAGGAGTAATAGTAGTAAGAGTAGTAATAGTAGTAAGAGGAGTAAGAGCAGTAAGAGTAGGGACAGCGGCCGTGTCAGTGTTGGCAGCCTTAGTGGTTGTGCTGTCCCAGCAGAACTCGTCCCAGCAGAACTAGTGAACAAAAGAGTTGCCGAGACTCGCTCTGTGGCAGGAGTTGAGCACGTGACACGCATTAGCTCATGTCATCTGTTCAACAGCTCTGGGAGGTGAGGAATGTGATTGCACCCATTTCAGAGATGAGGAAGGAGAGGCTCACCAGCAGGTGGCGGAGCTGGGAGCTGAGTGCGGGTCAGTCTGCAGCCCCGTGAGGACCGGCAGGAGCATCCTATGGTCCAGCGGCCTGAGGGAAGCGGGCACCGTGTTCCCCTGCAGCTGACTCACGGGGCTGGCACCACTGCTTCCGTGGGCATTGTCTTTCTCTCCTGACGAATAAGGCGTTTAGGCCAGGTCATCTCTAAGACGCCGTAGAAATCAGAAACTAAGAGATTCCAATGGATTCTAGTTCTCTGGCCCTCAGAGGTGATGGAGTTTGGGGCTGAGCCAGCCCACGGGAAGTATAAATCACACTGAAATTCTAGCAGCTAGTTTATCAGATACAAGCTGGGAGATGCACTATTTTTTTTATTGTTATTTTTAAGGATAACATTGATTGCTGCTAGTGGAGATAATGTACTTTGGGAAGTTTTTAAAATTATTTTTAGGGTTTATAATAGAAAGTGAGTGATTATAAAGCGTGAGAATAACATAATGTACTTTGGGAAGTTTTTAAAATTATTTTTAGGATTTATAGAAAGTGAGTGATTATAAAGCGTGAGAATAAATATGGGAAATGTAGCTACCATTTAATTTATATAATTATATAATTTACATAATAAAAGGTGTAATTAACAAATGAGACTCTACTTATGGCAGAAGTGTTCATTGACATATGTCAGTCAGAATGATCAAGGAAAGATAAAACCTTGTCAGTGTGTGAAACTTGTTGACTTGCTGGCTTTTCATTTAGTCTTTCTTTCTTTCTCTTTTTGATTGATTTCAGAGAGGGAGGGAGGGAGAGAGAGAGGTCAATGCTGAGAATCATTGATTGGCTGCCCCCTGCACGCCCCCTCCTGGGGACTGAGCCCGCAACCCAAGCATGTGCTCTGACCGGGAAAGGAACCATGACCTCCTGGTTCACAGGTCGACGCTCAGTCACTGAGCCACACAGCTGGGCTCATTTAGTCTTTGAAAGATCATGGAGTCCACGTGTGCCGGAAGGAGGTCCAGCATGAATGGACAGCAGAGCAGAATTACAAAATATTTCTGTACACGAACAGTGAAAGCATTGCCTGCTGCGGAGGCCCAGGGATTGGCTTCATTAAGTAAGAATGACACGTACTACATATTAGTAGGCCAGATGTTAGCATCGAAATACATGTTTCTGATCGGATTATTGCTTCCCATCCGGTAATTGCTACTTCTTGAAAAATGCCGGGTCTCCCTTACTCTGTGTGGGAGGCCGAGACGGTCGGACACAGTGGGGGCTCACAGGGGCGGTGCAGGGTGAGCCGGGGCTCCTCGCGATCCACCTGCTTTGGGTGCCTTTTCGTGAAGCCGGCTGTTTTCAGGGAGGGCGGGCCTGCCTCTGTCCGGGCGCGTCCCGTCCAGGCCGCGTCATTGCTGCGCTGCCATCGGTGAGGAACGCTCCAGGCAGGTAGTGAGAGCTCCTGGGCACTTCTTCCCCATAATTAGAGCGCATGATAGTGTATCATACACCGTTCACAGTAATGTGTCCCCGCCAGAGGCAGGATGAGTCAGATGGGACGTGGTGAGAGCAGGGCCGGGCTTCCGTGTTAGGTGAATCCCTGTTCTGACCCTGGCTCTGTTCCTCCCTCGTGTCTGGCCAGGGGCAGGTTGCTTCTCCTCCCTGTGCCGTCGCCTCTAGCCAACAGGGCCTCCCCCAGAGCATGCTGGGAGGGGTAAAGAGCAGAGCAGGCAGAGCAGGCAGAGCCCCCAGCGGAGCGTGAGTGACACACAGGGAGACTCAGTTTGGGGAAACAAAGCATTTAGAGGCATCAGTCAAGACAAGAAAAATCCTTGCCACGTTTCTAGGGAAGAAAAAGAGAAAGGTGAAGGGTATAGTATTGTTTTATGAGATTCTTGCTATGGGGCCAAAGAACTTCATGGGAGCTGACCTGGGATTGCACGTTAATTAGCACGTGCTCTTACACAGATAGCGGCTCCTTAGCACTGTGCTGAGGGGGCGGAGAAGCACAAACAGTGATGCAGATTAACCCTAAACCGCCTGCTGGGGCCCTGCGCTGGCAGTGCTGCTGCAAACAGCAGCGGGGAGCGGCGCGGTGTGTCCTGCAGCTGCCAGCAGAGGGCAGTGTGAGAGCGGAGATGGAGTGATTGGGGGCCAGGCCATGGTTACTTTCCTTATTAAATGTAGGTCAGACGCGGAATGAAAGTGGCTTGCATACCAAGACATGATGTAATTGCAGTTGACGTTGATAAATAGACACGGAATTGAAAAGACAGACAGTTCCATCCCAGAGGAGGCTGGGAGCCTGAGCCAGGAGCCGAGGTGGGGCAGAACCTGGGCCTGCCCACATGCGGTCCCCTCAGCACGCCTGCCAGGGCAGCAGCCAGATCCACCCCAGGGGCACATCCAGCTTCTCCAGCTGCCCCATCCCCATCAGCGAGGGCCAGCTCCCCCTTACTGTGCAGGTGGACGGGGAGGGTCAGCGCCCCGGCCCTTCACTCAGCGGGAGCAGCTGTCAGGGCGTGGCTGCCACCTCCTATCCCCCAGCTCCCATTCTTCAGAACACAGTGCCCCCCAGGACCTCGTGCCTGCGAGAGCCCTGGCCTGCGGGTCCTTCCAGAACCGGCTTCCTGACGTGCTCAGTGCCAAGGAGCCAGGCCCACTGTGCCTGCACCTGAGCCCAGAAATCCCCTCATTTCAGGCCTTTCACAGCTCCTCCGTGATTCTCAAAGTGTCCTCTCCCTGGGCACCCTTCACAATGAGGGAGCGAATCAGTGGACTTAAAAACACACACACACACGCTGTACTGCATTTTCTGCTTTTACTAATAATTTTCCTTCTGACAAGATTTCCTTTTTTAAAAAATGTATTTTTATTGATTTCAGAGAGGAAAGGACAGGGAGAGAGAGATAGAAACAGCAATGATGAGAGAGAATCATTGATTGGCTGCCTCCTGCACGCCCCACAGAGGGGATCGAGCCCCCAACCCAGACATGTGCCCTGACCGGGAATCAACCGTGACCTCCTGGTTCATAGGTCAGTGCTCAACCACTGGGCCACGCCAGTTGGGCTGACCAGATTTCCTTTTATCTAAGTATTCACTTGTTCGAGTGAATAGTATTACACTGGACTCAAACGTGCCTTTGAGCCTGTTATTTTCTTACTAAGCCCGATGCACGAAATTCGTGCAATGGGCTCGGCCCTCACAGCCCCGGCTGCCTCGTCTGGAAGGTCGTCTGGACGGTCGTTCTGCTGTTCGGTCTAATTAGCATATTAGCTCTTTATCATACAGGATGAGTCTGTAAGTGTTAAGAGAAGTACATGGGATTCGGGGCAGGGTGGGGGGTTGTGGGGAGAAAACAAAGGCTGGCACCAGTGTAGAAGGACGAAAACCCTTTCTCCTCTGCAGCGACCAGATGCTGAGCTACAACCTCGGCAGAAGGCTGCCCGCCGACCACGTGAGCGGGTACCTCCAGTTTAAAGTGGAGGTGACGTCCTCCCTGCATGAAGGTGAGATGCCGGGATAAGTCCATCCCTGTGGGAAAACGCGTTGCGTCTTCGTTGTCAGTTTGCATGTGCATAGGATCAAATGGGTGTCCTGTTCTGAAAACAAAAACAGCGACCCAGTGATGACCTGGAGATGGTCACACAGCCCCGAAGAGCCTGCTTGTCAGAAACGTCTCTCAGGTGCGTACGCCTGCATGTGGGCGCCGGGCGGTCGCCCGTGCGCAGTAGTGAACGTGTGCACCTCGTATGTCAGAGTGACCGGCAACAGGCCCGTTCCTGGTGAGGCGTGAGTCTTAGCGCGTCAGCGATGCTGGGAAGAGGGCTCAGGGGGAGGACTGCATCCATGAACTGATGGTTGACGAAGGGATAGGACATGAAAAGTTAATTTGCGAGAGGGCTTGGTTTTGATGAACGCTGCTTTCTCCTTCAGATGCTTCCCCGGAAGCCGTGGGCACGATGCTCGGGGTCGGCTCGGTGAACGGAGACCTGGGCAGCCCTTCGGACGAGGAGGAGATGGCCGGGACCCACCCCGACGGCCCGGCCTGCTCCAACGGGCCCGTGTCCGAGGAGAGTGCCGAGGGGACTCCCAAGCACTCCTGCAGGACTAGCTCCACCCTGGACATGGACGCGGAGGATCTGACCTCCATGTCCTCAAGGAACTCGCCGCCCCGCGGAGGCCAGGACTCACTCAACGATTACCTGGATGCCGTGGAACACGGAGGCCCTGCCAGGCCGGGCCCCGCGCCCTGCCCTGGGCTTTTCGAAGCTGAGGAGCAGCTTCCCCACCGACACGAGGCTCAGCGCCATGCTCCACATCGACTCCGACGAGGAGGACCACGAGCTGCAGCCGGGCCTGGGCTCCCCGTCGTCCCTGGAGGAGGAGGGGGGCCTGATCATGTTCGGCGGGCCATCGAGGACTGACGACGGGAGCCTGTCCTCTCAGACGAAGCAGGAAGACACCCCGCTGGAGACCGAGGACGCCCCCACGCACGATGCCGTTTCCTTGGAGGGGAAGCCGGAGGGTCTCCCCGAGGAGCTGGCCGAGGGCTCCTCCCCAGCAGGCCCCGCCCCAGGGGACAGCGAAGAGGGTCCAGAGTCTCCAGCCGGCGCAGACCAGGACCAGGACCAGGACCAGGACCAGGACGGCACTGAGCCCTGTGGCTCCCAAGAGGTGGACCCGCCCACGAGTGGGGCAGACACGGGCACCCCGGACACGTCGGGAGGGAGCCGGAGGGCCACCAGTGAAACCGAGTCCCTTGACCAGGGTTCGGAGCCCTCCCAGGTGTCCTCTGAGACGGAACCCAGCGACCCCGCCCGGACCGAGAGCGTGAGCGAGGCCAGCACCAGGCCCGAGGGCGAGAGCG